GATGGCAGCAGGACTTCTGCTCCAGCTATACCGTCTCCTGTTCAGCTGCATCCCGCTCCTCACTGTAGGACCTCTTGGCAGTGTTGAATACCATAAGCTTCTGTGTTTCCGAGGCTCCTGTGCAGCCTTTCAAGAGCCAGGCTCCTGGTCCTTCCAGAACTGAGGTGGTTTCACAGCTGCCTTGAAAACTCAACTCTTGAGCATCTCCATCTGGGCACAAAGATTTGACTCTTGCCCAGCCGTTGTTTGTCTTACCATTGGGTGGAAAGCGTCACACGCTGCTACTGCTGGAGCTTCTCCCTTGGCTTCCCAGACTATGGCTTGTGCAATTGGTTTCATAGACTACTTGAAACCCTGGCAAAACACTGAGGTTCTTCAGCCAGTAAGTTTCTGTTTTGTGGACACAGGTGGATTTAAAATTGAAAAAAGCTATTGATCACCCTTCCTTTTCGTTTGTTTTGTTTTGTCGTTTGGCTGTTTCCAATAGGAGTCATTTCCGAGGAAGAACTTGCATAAAAAAGACAGCAGTGATGTAGTTCACTGGTTCCAGAAGGGTGGTTGATCTTGGCTTGGGGAATGGAACAAGGCATTTCCTGCAGGGGAATTTGGTGGGCAAGTGAATGTGTGTCAACAGAGCCAGAAGGTGGGGGAGGTTCGTAAAATGAAGAAGAATGAGATTGTGTGTGGTGCGATGATGCGTAAGCAGCAGAGGTGGCTGAACCTGAGTGAAGTAAGAGAGAAAGCGGTTGGCCTGGTCTGTGGATGGATGTTCTTGCTGTTTTGCTAAACATGATTCAGGTAGCTGTGCCTTAGTTTGCACAACCTGATGGAATATTTCTTTCCTGATTAATCTCTTGCTAAAGCAGAGTGGAATGAGTCAATTTGGAAGAGAAGCACTGGCTCCATGTTGACACTAAGGACATTTATTGGAAGAGGTGATTTCTAGTTCCCCTGCTTACTTTATCTGGCAGTACTTAGAGCCAGCAACATCTCCTGAGCCACCAGTATCTGTCATGATGGACATGGAGCTCTTGAAGTCCTGGGCTCCTCTGGAGCCAGGAGCTGGTGCCAGATACAGACAGGAGGGTGACCAGGAACAAGGAGATGACAGGGCCGTTGGGTCTAAATGCCATCGGTGTACTGCATAGGACAAGGACTCTCGATGGCTGTGTTTTCCTAATAGAAAATAGTTACTTCACTAAGAAGTCACACCAAAACTCAGATATGCTGCAAATACATTCATTGGGCTATTTATCAATATTAAATGCGTAAACCAGAAAGGTCAGCTGTGTTTAATGTCATGTGGGTAGCTTTGTGATTTTAATTACAGTAAAAAACCCAATGACAAATGAATTCAGTGCTCTTTAGAGCTCATTCCTCCCTGACACAGTTTGTTTTGTTGGCTTACCTGAGCTGAGGGGAAGTTTGGCTGCCTCTACCATGGTAGGAGAGATTTTATTAAAATTAAAAAAAAAAAAAAAGGAAAGTGATAAATTATTTACAAAGTCTCATTCACTGAGGGAATTCAGTGTAGCTTAATGTTTGAGCAACACCTTGTTAGAGTGTTGGACAGCAAAGTTGCAGGCAGAATCACAGTAACTGGTGCAAAAAAGGTTGTTGCATGTGACCTTAAATTAGAGTAAGTGACAATTGCTGCTTCTCTGTTTCTTCCTATTTTGTATGTGGCTTCAGATATCTGGGGTAAAGAGGGATAAACTTCAGTTGCTGCTCTTTCAGCTTTTTGTTGTGTAAAATCATGATGAGGGCTGCTCTGCGGTTTTTGTTGTTGTTTTTGTTAAGCTTCTAAAACTCTTGATCTTTTCGCAAGCTATTTTCAAAATGTAGTCAGCAGGATCCTCCTCCTTATATAATATTCCTTCAGTTTTTAGGGGTAGTTATCCATTTGGCTGTTTTAAATTTATTGTTAAAGAACTGACTGCTATAGGAACCTCATTTTTAAATGAGAGCCCTGCAGACAGTTTGTGCTCCAGCTACTTTTAAATTGCAGCTGAGGTTCTGAGCGGTGCTGATCAACATGCTTGGGCTTTTGTTTTCCTCTCTGAACATGTCCGTACCCTCATGGCTGTGGTTTCAGCTTTGCAGGTGGGGGAAAGGTCCTGCTTGCCCTGTCTGCTTGACAGTGGAGATCGGAGTTCCTCTGGTTTGTGGTCCATGCTCAACACAGCGTCCCTATTTCACTAAGTGACAGAGGCTGTCACTGACTATCAAAAGCAGCAAAGCAACCTCGCACTGAACGCACCAATTCCTTGCTGCTGTAAACACGGAGTGTTACAAGTAACCCTGAAACGTTCCTTGAGTGCTGCCAGTTTACAGCTGTGGTGTTCACCCTGCACCCCTCAAAATGCTGGTGACAGCCTACAGGGATGGAGCTTTGATTTCAGTCTGGTGATGCTCTCCAGCTTCTCAGTTGATGATAAGACCAGCTCAGTTAAAGAGGTCCAGTTACATTTGTTTCTGTACCTATTGAAAAGTTTTGGTTTGTTTTTTTTTCTGAATGTAGTATCAATGGAGGTTCCTGTACTTTTTTCCACTTCACTGGCAGGGCTGTCCTTGTTTAAATCTAAATCAATCTTAGTAACATGTGCAGCCCAAAGATGAAGGGAGAAAAGTAATCTCTAGATCAGGAGCTACAGAAAATGAAATGCATTATGAACAGAAGAGAGAAAGGAGTTTTTTTCTGTATCCATTGTCCAGGCAAAGGGAAACTGGCACAGAAAATAAGAGTTAGTGAATGGTGGTAGTGGAGAGTGGTGCTGTTTTTTTTTTTTTCTAAATTTAGATGAAAGGAAAAATTAAAACTTTTCTAAATGTCCCCAGTAAGACTAAGCAAAGCATAGGCAGGTAAGAGAAGTAACGTTCCCATAGGATTCATTCAGCATTGCTGAGATTCTTTCCTTTGCATTCAGCTCCACTGGGAAAGTGTTGGGAGGGCTGGGGTTTGTTTGTTGTTTTTTTTTTCCTTTGCCACTGGTATGGTTAAAAGTCACAGCATAAATTTCCTGACTTGGTGAAAAGCCTGTGACCCCTCTCAGTTGTCTTGTTCATCAGAAGGCAGATAGGTAATAAAGAGTCTCCTGTGTGAGAGGAGTAGGGAGAACCTGCTGTTTTAATTTTGTTCACAGCAGTGGGCCAAACTTTGTTCTCTCAGTGCTGGCCTTGATAATTGGCTCGATATAATATAGAAATTCAAGCCATTGCATATCTCTGGCTTTATAACTGCTAATGTCATAGCCAAGAAGAGTGCTAAGTCTCCTGCAGGAGCATACAGTAAATAAGAACAATAAGCATGTTCCAAAGAACATACGGACAGTGGTTTTAAAGGGCCTCAGATCAGCCTTGGTGAGTTAATTTGCATCGAAGTTGCCTGGACAAATGCATTTTGCTGGTTTAGACTCCATGGGGGACGTGGGTTTGACTCGGGAGATTTTCTGGACTAAGTATTATTTTCATGTCTCTGATTCCTGGCAACCAGGCTTAAGGGATCCTCTCTTTTTGGGAGGGAAGGATTTGCTTTGGGAGTTTCCTCCATTTCAGGCGTTTGGCTATAGTGTGCCTTGCCTTTAGGATACCCCATATCCTGCTGCACAGGTACCTTGCACAGACATACGGTAAAGTTTTGTTTTCCCTCCAGACACCCGCAGCTCTCGGCCATGGCTAGCTAAGACTCATTTACCTTGTTTTTCACAGACATCCGCCGTTTATTCGTCATCTTCAATGAGGTTCTAACACCTGTTAGGCGCTCCTCCTCCCTCTTTTGGAGAAGCATTTAATTATGACAGGGTTTCCCTTGGAGCACATCCTCCATTCAGTTCCCTAATTGTAGAATTCTCTGTGGGATTCTCCAGATGGGGGATAGAGGATAATCTTCTCAGAGCTCCGGAAGAAATGTGATGCCAAATTACAGAAAATAGATCCTTTTTATTAAGCTCTTGGGCTCTTTTTTCTCTTATTTTAAGGTGACCTTCTGTTAAAGCGAAATGTTGGATAAACGACTATGTTTTTTAAATAATCCTTAACAGCCTTACCTGGGTTACTAATAACATCGTTAGAGTAGAAATCCTGAAAGGACTTAAGCTTTTTTGGCCACTCGTGCTGTCATCAACAGAGACGAGGAGAACGAACTTGCCTGTTTCCCTTTTGTTTCTAGCTGGTCTCATTTTCATGCTGCAAGCTCTAAATTGGGGAGTGTTGGCAGCGTGCTTGGCGTGGCGGACAGGTATAAAGACAAAGCCCCCTCCTTTGTCAAGTGGTCACAGTGCCACTTCGTGGGTCACTTGCTTCGCTGCAAGCTAGTGTTGTGGTGGTGCTGTTTCAACCCCTGAGGGGTTTCCAGGCATCCTAAAAGTGCTACTCGGTGCTGCTGATGTTTGCAAGTGTGGCAGTACTGGCCATCCCATTTTCTGCGCAGATGCTGCCCATATCTGAAGTTCTACTGAATTTGCTAAACCTAGCATGTGACTGCTGAAGGGCTCCAAGGGTTGTCCTTACAGAGCCAATTCTGCTGGAAGGTTCCTGTGTATTTGATGTGCACAAAGTTGTACTCCATGAGCTCTTGTGTTAGCAGATGATACTGATGTTTTTACAGGGTGGATGGAGAAACTGAAGCACAAAGAAGCATAACTGCACCCCCGTACTGAGTTGGTGGCAGAGCCAGAAGTAGTCTGGAAACGGCTGACTCTGGTCCTCTGTTCTAATCGTTGCCTCTTTTTGGGATTTTGTGTGTAAATAAATCCCTAGGGAACGTTTTTTGTAGCACCAGTGAGAGTACCAGCTTTGCACGTAGTGGGTAAATACGGACTTAGGAGGGGAGGAATCTCTTGTCGGCAGGGAGGCTGAAGTTATAGCTGTAGATTTTAATGTATGTAGTTAGTTGGCTTTAAACTGCAGTATGCTGCTGGGGATGTGTACAGCTTGCAGTGATTGAACTTCAGTGCTGAGAGGTTAAAGGTGGCTAATCCAAATTTTTGTTTATCTTCCAGGTCTACGCACAACGAACTAGAAAAGAACCGGTAAGTAGCTAATGAGCTGAATTCTAAGAAATGCAGCCCTGGTGAGTGTAATGTGCTTTAACCTTACACGTGCAGGTGCCGTTTGATCAGCTTAGACAGCTGTGAATGACCACACTGCATCGTGTAGTTTTAAAAGTCAGGGGGGAAGGCACGAAAAGATCTGAAAAAGAAGCCTTGGTTTTGGCTGGGTTGTTTTTTTTTTTCCCCTCTCTCTGAAAAGGCAAGAAGTGACCCAGTTTTGTGACTAATCTGTATGCAGAGTAAATACTGTTCTTCTCCTGACACAGTGAAATCTGATTGGGGCACTTTCCATACATGAGGTTGCTACGGGATCAGGTTTCTGGGGTCCTGGCTGATATGTGTTACCATGAACCGAAGGGTAGACCCTGTGCTCTCCCTCCCGCCCCTCCACTGGGCTGCGATAATCTCTGCGGCGCAGAAGAAAATATCATTGTCCAGAGGCTCAGAGGTCTGCCTACCAGCGCTCCTGTGGAGGTTCTCTCTTCTAACCTGTTTTAGGATTGTGGCTGTTTATCCTCGAATCTGAAGTTTTAGCAAGCCTTGCAGTTTTGTTACTTGGCCAGCTCTCCTATATGACTCAACCCTTTTGTAACAGGAGTTAAAGTAAGATAAATACCATTGAGACAAGGGGAGTCAGTTCACACACAGATCAGATTATTGCCTTCCATTCAGGATGCTATAGTTAAGATTGTGTCAGGGTTTCCATTATAAACTTATCTTGGCTCTTCTGTGGGATTTTAGGAGGGCTGAGGGGGGCTGTCTGTGTTTTTTGTGGTTGCTGGAACAAAGGCAGAGCTCTGGCCAGCTGCTCCTATGAGGAAACCTCCAGGGTGGGAAGGCTGAGTCTAAATAGGTTGATTGCCTCCTCTTCCCTCTTAGCTGTCATCGTTTAACAAGGGATTGGAGCACTATGAGGATGACCAAAGATACACAGAGGCTTTGAGCCAAGTGTGTATTTCCATTCAGACAAGATCTTCCCATGCAGCTTCAAGGAAATAGGAGCAGAGTACTTTGTGCATCATGTTGCCCTTGGTTTCCCCACATCTGTCTCCCCCAGCAGCAGCAGTGCTGGGAAGCAGCTTGGCCTTTGCATGGTGTGGGTGTGTTCTTCCAGGCTATGCTTCTGTTTCCTGATAGCTTTGAGGGTTCACAGAGTTGTCCTGGTGCTGCCTTTCTGGGGTGATGCAGATAGGGTTTTTATTTGCATATTTCTCTTCTGTCCTTCCCGAGTCTCAGTCTTTCCAGTCCCAGGTTGAGCTGTGTTGAGAACTGTTGGCTCTTGGGTTTTCCAGTGCTCTCTGCAGTTTATTTGCCAGTGAGGGAAAGAAAATGCAGTGCTTGAGTCTGACCCGGAACACAGGGTGCTTTTTTCTCCATGACAACAGTAAACCGTCACTAATTTTCAATGTGCTTATTTGCATACCTAATTGTTACTGCAAACACTGCTTGCCCTCAGTACAGCATTAGAGCAGAGCTATCTCCATCTTTCCCTGTACCAACCTGGTCCTGTCACATTGGCCAAGTCTGTGTGGATCTGTGGCCATCTTTTTATGCCCTCAGGCTTGTGGGGCAGGCAGTGAAGCTTCCAACTCTCTATAGGTGAAATCTTAGCAGCTAGCATTACATACCTATTGTCCAGCTAAGGACTGGCAAGTATTGATGGATTTAGGATATGCCTGATACCAACTAGCTGTGTGAGTTGAGGAAGTTTCTGCCTTGATTCCCTGTCTTTAACTGAGGACAGTAGTAGTACTACATGGAGGGGGGATATCATGGGGATTGACTACTGCTCAGCACCTTATGTATGTTACTAGTGAGAGGAGTACTACTACCTGTGCTCCCCTTATGCCGCCTTTTTCTGAATGTTGACAAGCTGTTTGCTTGATACAGAATTCATCTTTTCATTCCCAGTTGGTGTAATATCATCTTTTCCTCTTCTTCTGTCTCTGTTACGTTCCCTAGTCTTCAGCCTGGAACAGGTGGGGACTCTGTCAGCCTTCTCAGCAAGGTCTTTGCTCCAGGACTTCCCATTCCCAAGGCATTGTATTCTAGATCAGTATTTCAGACATGGTTTTAAAACCCCTTGGTTTTCATCTTTCTGGGAAGGCCACACATGATCACATTGGATGGTCAGTACAGGCAAACTCCTGTATCTGAGATCTTTGGTCAGGAGTCTGCTGCTTCTGGTTTGGGATTGTCTGTCTCTGAATGCAGATACTATGGCCTGGTCAGCTGTGCGCATCTGCGAACCCAGATGGACCCTGTAGTGGTTACGCTGGGTTTGCAGTGTTTGTTACCAATGATTTGGACAGCGAGTTTCATCCTGGAAGCATTTATTTTCTAAGTCCACAGCAGTGTTTTCTGAGTGAAGGGGATTGCTTCCCTGTTAGATTTTCATCATGTTTAATTTGCTGTGTCGTTAAGTTTGTCAGTGTCTCCAGACTTAAATGTTGCAAAGATAAAAGCCCTGATAGTAATGGCTTTGTGGCTGGCAGGTGCTCATTTTCCCTATTATTTGAGATTATTTCTTTTGAATCTCACTGTTATCTCCATTATTGACACACACTATAATTTTCAAAATTGTCCACTATTAGGTCTCTGACTCTGTTTTTTCCCTTCTTATCTGTGAACAGCAGTCTTCTTACGTTCAGTTAAATTTTGTTTAAACCCATTCAACAATTAAACAGTTTCTTTCGAGCAGAGAATAGCAGAAAACCAAAATGCTCTCCTTCTTATTTTTGAATATGCGATTTGACTTGGACTTAATATTGCAGAGCTGATGATGCTTCAATGTATCAGGATTAAGAATCTTGTACCCCTTTGATGTTGAAAAGTAACTGAAAATATATTCAAAAAATTAAAGCGATGTTTTAAACTTCACTTCTTTTCTTAGTCTTGAAATATTTCATGAACGCTCCAGTGGTTCTGCTAAGGAGCTGTTTGATTTGGTAACAGATATTGACTGTAATATTTAAGTGACTTCTTTCTGCTTTGATTTGTTGGGTGTCTCTTTTTTATCTGAAAAGATTACAGTGACATTTATATAAGGGGCTTTGTTTGATTTATAAAAGATTAAAGTTAATTTATAGTTATTATCTGTCATTAATCCTCATGTTGGAAAATTGTTTGTGTTTTTTGTTTAATGGGTATGTGTTTCAGTTTCTCTGCCCAGGATGAGTCATAGTTTGCATTTAAACAAGAAACAAGTATTCTGCCTTTCATCTGCTGCTAGGCATAGCTAAAACATGCCTACCAAAATATGGATTCGTAAGCAACACCCCATCATTTTCTAAGAGAAAACATGATAAAGCAAGTGACTTAAAGAGGAACTTAGGTAGTGTAATATTTTGTCAAAAAAGGATAATAAATAAAATTCAGGCGTAAGTTAAACGGTGTGTATTATACAGATAGCAGAGTTAACCGCGCTTTGTGAACATTTCAGACGCACACCAGTTTTGGAAGGATGTGGTCAGTGTGGTATTAAGAGAACGTACACGGCACCGAGATGGCTTTCCTGCTGCTCTGTGAAGTGGCAGTTCTGGTAGACCAACATGGTGGTGGTGTCTGTCAGAAAAGTTATGTCTCTTGCTAGAATTAAGAAAGATGTTTATAAAGGTTTTGATCAGATTTTTTTTTTTTAAATATGCGTTTTTCTGCATATCCTAGACTGATCTATTTGGTTTTGGTGATAGTCACATTGTGATACAGCAGAAGAAAGGAAAACAAAGCTGAATAATTGGGTAAAGAATGAGTTATTAGAGCAGATTTTTTTTTTATGGTAATAATAATTTAGTTTAAACAAAAGATAGATCCAAGGAGGCAAAGAGACCTTGGGAGAATCACTGAAATTAGAATTTTCTGAAGATCTCACAGAATTTGTGGCCCTGCAAAAATTCCTCATTTAAAAGGAAAAAGGACAAAATCTAAAGGAGACAAAACTCCTTCTAAACCAAGTTACTAAAGAGTTGTGTTTAGTGTAAAGGCACAGAGCGAAGCGGTGTAAGATCCTTTCTCTCTGGTATCTTTTGAGATGAAACAAAGTGAAGAAGATAAACACATAGCAATGGCAGAGTATTATGGTTTTTAGCCTTTCTGACTGTTACCAAGATCCCCCTTCTGTCTTCTGTGATTCCCCACCCATCCTCTCTTGAATGTGAGAGACGGTTTATTGCAGAGTGTTTCTCCAAAACGATTTCTCACACAGAGCTGATTGTTGTGCTGAGTTGCATATTTGAGGTAGCAGATGAGATAAAGGAAAAACCCTACTGAACGTTTAGGAGAAAACCGTGACCTGGGTCAGCTTGCACTGAAACGTGGGCCCTTCTGAGGCTCCCCAGCAATTGCGCAGTTCGATTCTGTGTCGCTAGAACATGGGCTTGACTGTGTCTGTTAGCAAAATGCAAGAGAAGGAGGGGAAGGCATTTAACATAGGGCATTTAAATAGTTCTGGTATTAAATAGTGCAGACATGCTGTCTAGGCTGGGAAAGATAGAGGGAAGGGAGATGAAAGTATAGTGAATCTTTGCTGCTCTGAATAGACATGGATGATTGCGCTTTTGTAGTGCGATATATACTTGCCAAGGCAATCTGATCAGTGTTTGTCTTGATCCAACTAATCAATGTGGTGTTGAGTTCAGTGCTATTTGTCAGGAGAGCTGGAACAAGAAACTAATCTGGTAAATTTCATTTGTTTTCTAGAGTGGGCTTTGTTTTCGTGTTAACTTCATGTAGCAAACATTGAAAGTTCATATTGTTTTCCTCATTAATAAAACTTGGAACCTGTGATGTTCCCTGCAGCAGTCAAATCATGGCTAATACAGCTGAACACGCATCTTTCTTTGACACATCCAAAGGTCAGAGCACGCACTGATCCAACTTGCTCCTTGTGGGAACTGTAGCTAAACCCTCCTGTCTCTGTGGCCGGTATGGAACAAGAGCTGGAGGTAGCTAGCTGTCTTCGGCTCTGTTGCTTGGATGAC